GAGAGCCACCGCCTCCGCCCCCGAGGGGGAAAGGGAGCTCTCTGGCCCCCGAGCCCACCCTGTAAGCAGGGGAGGGCCGTTTCCCCGGCCCCCTCCTCCCGCCCCGGCGGCTTTCTGCCTGCTGGCGGCCTGGCCCGCGTGACCCCCGGCGTCGGGGCGTGTCACGGCATTTCCCCTTGGCGTGTTGAAGCCCCTGTGGCCTCCATGCCACCCCGGGACCCCCTGCCCACCCTGTTAAGCAGGGGAGGGCCGTTTCCCCACCTGCCTCCTCCTGCCCCGCCGGCTTTCTGCTGGCCGGTGGCCTGGTCGGCGTGACCCCCTGACTCGGGGCGTGTGTCACAAGCCGTGGAGCCCTCTGTCCCCAGGAGCAGCCCGAGCTCCCTGTAAGCAGGGCTGGGGAGGCTGCTTTAGCCAGCCACCAGGAACGAGCCCTCCCTGGCCCTTTAGAGGGTGCAGGTTGAGGAAGTGCTGTGCCGCCTTTGGCGCTGCTTTTGGCCGGGGCGACCTCCCCGCCGGTGGGGTCGAGGTCGCTCCCTGGGCTCCTGAAGACGTGGTGGTGTGCCGCAGCCAGGCCGGCCGGCCCGTAAGTCGGGCGCCGGTCGGAGCCTCGGGCTCCGTGGGGCTTGTTGGGAGCGCCGAGGCGAGGGGGAGCGCCCTGTAAGCGGGGCTGCGCGTGCCCCCTGCGCTCGGCGGGACCCCCTGTAAGCAGGCGGGTGTCCCTGGCCCCGGCCTTTCGGGGCCGCAAATTTGGAAGTCGTCTCGTCTTAACGCAGAATCGGAGCGGCTTCTACAAATCTAGGGCGCGGCACGGAGCCAGCTGCCTCCCCCGGAGTCACGAAACCCATCCCAACAGCATCCCAAGGATGCTCTTGTGTGACCGCAGCCCTGAGGACTGCCCGGAGCGCCTTTCGCTTTCCTCCTTTGCAGCCCGCCGCCCCTCCTCTCGCTCCCTCTTGCCCCGCAGTTCTGCACCCGACGGACGCCTCTTACGGTTTTTTTCTTCCGCTCTTTCTTCTCCGGGAGCCGCTGCCGAGGAAGGACGGCGCGGTCAAGCGCCAGCTCCCCCGCCCGGAGAACACAGGGGCGCCAACCCCCGGAGGGACCTCCCCGCAGCGCACCCTGGTCCCCGGCCGTCCTTCCCCCCTCCGCCCCCTACCCGCCCAGGTTCAGCTTTTTTTACACCCGCCTCTCTCGCCGTGTGGCGCCCCGCAGCCTGGACATGTACAGAGCGGAGGCCCCAGCCCTGCTTCTGGGGCAGTGGCCCAGCTCGGGGCAAGGGTCTTCCCCGTGCCAGGGCCGCCCGGGCAGGACCTGGGCCCCGCTTGCAGGCACTTGCTTTCCGATGCCCGGAACGGGCCCCTTCCCCCCAGCGGCCCCCGTGCTTCTCTTTCTCCCAGGCTGCTCCCGGGGCTGAGGGCAGAGGGAAAGGGGACCAGGGCACGGCAGGGCAGGGCAGGGCAGGGCCGGGCAGGGCAGCAGATTTAGGGTGGCGAGCACCGCTTGCGGGCCCCAAACACCAGCCGCTTTCCAACCAGCTGCTCCGCCTTGAAGCGGCAGCTTCTCCCAAGTGGTGAGGAACCCCCCTCAGGAAGTTCTTCCGCCCAAGCCCCCAGCGCCTCCCGGGAAAAGCCCTTGCCAAAGTCACCGGCCACGGCTGCCAATTCCCCTGCCTCCAGGGCAGAAAGTGCCCAGCACTCTCCAGAGTCCCCAGCTGGCAGCCTGTGTGGGGTGCGCGCCCCGTTAGCGGGGTGCGGGTCAGGGTGCCCCAAACGCAGGGAGAAGGCGCCTCCGTGGGCCTTTGGGACCAGGGCCGCCCTGTAAGCCGGGGCCCGGCCCGTGCCCTTTGCAGTCCAGGCAGCGGCCAGAGCCCCCTGTAAGCAGGGGTGCGGCCTCTTTGGCCGCTGCTGTCATGCCCAGCTGCATTTGCCCAGGGTGCCCCCCAAGCCCAGCTCCAGCACCGGCTGGAACTCCGCAGGCGCCCGAGGGAGCACCGGAGCACCAATTCGGTGAGAAAAGCCCATGGGCGAGGTTTTTT